TTTTTCTGATTGCTGGGCCCACCAAGTGATGCTGTACATCGTGACTACTTGATATTATATAACCACAGACCTTCCAAGATGGTGTTCACCTCACAGTTCCAGCTATTAAATCTGACTCTTGGCAAATGAGGCCATTGCTATTAGGATCGAGGCCACTGCTAGCCTAATTAATGCCATCACTAGTAGGATGGAGGCCATGTCTAAAAGGTTCGAGACCATGGCTAGAATTTGGGACCATGGGTGGAAATCAGAGTAACCATCTGAAGCTTGGGGGCTCAGGCTTAGGACGGGCTTGGGTGACTTGGCCATGGCACCGGCAAAGTCATCTAAGAGCTCGAGGACGAGATCCACTGCCTCAACTTTGTCGGATGCCAAGGACTCGGCAACGACGATGATCAGTGGTTCGCAATACAACACTGATTTGGTGGATGACTTCAAGAAGGTTGTCGGAGCCCTACAAGACAAGTGGCCAGATGTGCTTCATGAAGATCCTTTGCTGATCAAAGAGGGTGGGCGGGAGGCTGGTTGGGTGACACGTGTAATTAATTTTGAACACTGTCAGTTACCAAATTAAATTTAGTTTACTGAATGAACATCATCTGCTTGACACACCTCCATGCCAGGCACCGTTCAGCTCCGTCCATTTCGGGTCCATGGTTGACTCTACCGACAAGGTGAAGTCCTACAAGTGTGGTCAGAATTGGTTCCGCCACAACATGCTCTTCAACCCAGCGCCGGGAGCTACGTAGCTGCAGGTATTTAGGTTTTAAGCTATTTAAGTTTAGTGTGTCTAAATATATTTGGTTTAAAGGTGTTCTGATTCTTGAACTAAGACGCCTATCCGATCTTCGGCCATCGACGCCATCATGAAGCACCACTTTGGCCAACCGGGACACTATCCGACGGTCTTGAAGGTGCATGTGCCGTCGGCAGCTTGGTTAATAATTAAAGTTATTTTATTTATGTTTTGTTTTAATGTTTAAAAAACATTATAATAATTATTTGGTTCAAGCTTCAACTTAGCCAAGGACATGAACTATGAGGGCGTCACCAAGGTCCGTGCTGGTGATGACAGTCCATTTGCACAGGTGAGGATGATCTCACCACTGGAAGTGGACTATGCCTTCGTTCTGGCGGCCTACAGGGACATCAATGACTCAGAGAAGTTGGACCAATGGAAGCGGCTTCCCGGCTCATTTTAGCTCTATTTGATTTTGTCAACTGAATGTTCTGTCTAAAATTTTAACTAACCTGCTTGAGGTTCTTCGTGTCCGTGAGCTTTGAGTACATCATGACCGACTGCCCCTTAGATGAGTGTCTTGTCAGTAATAATGTGACATGGATCAACCACATTACATTAAACAAGTCTTTGAACTCCCTTTCCCCTGCCCTTCAAACTGAGGCTCCACTTGCTGGCATTTCAGGAGCGCCAGTGCCTTGGCAGCGTATAGTTTAACGTTTGTTACATGGTGCGTCCATGAGCCCTGACTTGTCCTCTCCTTTGTTTGTTTTTGTGCCTAGGACCTTCGATCTGCATGGGGTAGCGCTGAAACACTCAGCGCTACAGGTGTTTTGGAGCATCCTGACCTACAAGCGGGAGCTGGAGACTAAACAGGTGGTGATCACCAGTGAGGAGCTGTCCAAAAAGTATATGGAGAACATCAGATTCGCAAAAGAGGAAGAGGCTGTGTCGTGGCTTATTGGTATTTTCAATTGAAACTGACTTGGCAAAAGAAAAGACAATCTCAACAATTTTAATGTTAGGCTGATGCCAATTGAGTGAGGTGTCACCAAGCTTCATCGACACTGCCTGTACACTGGGCAACCGTGCTGCTTGGCTGAAGGTGTTGGCCTGGTGTCATGAGGCTGAGGGGGGATGAATTTATAGTATATTAAAACCTTCACCATAATTTTAACTCAGGTATTCACAGACCAGAAGCTCACGGACATGCTCTGCGATGCTGATGACAAGCAACTGGCTGCCTTCAAGGACTGGTCAAAGTATCAAATATTGGTGCAACAAGGAAAAACTCCCGAATCAATTCGGTGGGTGTTCTTTGCCTTGCAACTTGACTCAATCATAAAATATGTTTGGTAAAGACTCCGGAATCAACACGGTGGGTCTTCTTTGCCTTGCAGCTTGACTGAATCAGAACAAGTGTTTCTTGGAATCTTACATTAAGTTCGAAGACTCATGTTGCTTAGTTTAAACATGCTTGGTACGTTTAAATTAAGGTATGATGGATGTCAGAGGGACTACTTGCCGGCCAACTTCTTGTCCAACCGAAGTCTCCAAAATTTGACCTGCAAGATGTTCCTGGCCCAGCGCTCCCTTCGTGACTGCCTTCTTCGGGTCATGGAGGATGACTTTGATTGGCCTCATGGCATCAAGGATACCATCCGTGAGGTGACCATGATCATACAACACTGGTCAGGTCACTTGACTCAAGTATTTGGCAGAATCAGTGGCTGTAGGTCAAAAACCGGAGCCCCAAACCAGGGTAGGTTGACCTCCCAGGTAGTCTATTATTCTGTTCATTCACCAGGTGGTCAATGGTGTCCCGGGAGTCATCAGAGTTTTTAGTTTGGTCTGACTCAGGAAGATCAAGGAACTCACTTGGAGAGCTGGCTGGCCGGATTCCGCTGAGCGCTTCTGGCAGCTCGTTGAGGTGCCCAAAACTGCAAGTTAGTCAATCAAACTAATTCTTTGGTCCCGGGAGTCATCAAAGCTGCTGTCAAGCACATGCTCAGGATGCGGTCTTCGGTGCTGGCTACCAATCAGCTCTGACATCACTTGTCAAGAACCGAAGGAGCATCCCTGAGTATTTGGAGAATCCTGAGCTGAAACAGGAGCTCACTGCCATCCACGAGATGTATGATGAGGAAATGAAGAAAAAGAAGAAGGAGTTGAAGCTTGCCCAGAAGGAGAATGGCACCCTGATAGATGATGACGAGGATGAATTGGAGGCCGAGAAAGAGGATCCTGTGGAACCTGAAGATCAAAGCCTCAAGCACATCATGGTTGAGGGTGATGATCCAAGCCTGCCATTCAAGAATCCCAAGGATGGCTTCACGGAGAAAGGCATCCAAATGAAGGACCGGCTGGCCCATTTCAAGAAGCAAGCCCAGAGAAAAGTGCCTTGGTCTGTTAACTTGTCTACTAAGTCCTTGTTGTCTTTTGAATTCAAACAATATGTGAAACACCTTCTTGTCTAGCAACCAGGTCTCGACGATCTGCAAGTTCATCGTGGAGCCTCAAACAGAGGCTGATCTTGTGGATGCCTACATGGATTCCTTCCTGAAGGACTATACAGCCGAGTCGAGCCTTGTCTGTACTTGGGGTAGGGACGGGGAGTATTGTCAAGTACCGGTTGTTCGTCGTCATTGAGTCATTGTCAGTCACTGTCACTGTGAGCCATCAATGATGAGGAAACCACTCCATCTGGGGGATGAGCCTGTGGCCCATGGACTCTTGGGCCACTTCTTCGACTCCAAACTGGCCAGCGAGGCCAACACCCAGCCAAAGGTGAGGGCTCCGCCATTGAAGGTTTCTCAGCTAAATTAAGGAGGTTTAGTGTGTTCATTTCATGGAAATGCCACAACCACGACGACGAGCGACACAGGACAACCGAGTTTCCCGACTGCTCTCTTCAGTGATGTGGCCTGGCAGCAATTGAAATCAGCACAGGTCAGTGAGTCTTGAAACTTAATTATCAGAATTTAAGTTAGATTCAATCTACTACCCAGGCAAGCCCGCTTTCCTCAGAATCCGGATGGTGCACCAACATGGAACAACAATGATGTGGTCTTTGTCATGGATGGAGGGAGGGCCGGCAACAAGTCGGCATTGACCACCATGAAGGTGAATGCAGTGCCGGTGACCAAAAGCGAGAAAACACTGCAGATCATTTATGATGAGGATTCGATACTTGCAAGGACTGGGGTTACCGTTCCCAAATGTCGTCTTATGTGAACTGAATGAAGTTAGTGTCTGTCATGTTGTCCCTGGCAAGGAGGGATCGGAGGACCGGACCAGTGAAGCAATTGGAGACCGTCTACATCATCAGTGGCCCTGACGGATTGAAAGTCCCAAAGCGGTCAAGGACTGACATGCGTTTAACCATGTTGAAATAAACTAACTATAACATTGATTAAAAGACCCTGGAGGATCCACTTCAAAGGATCAAACCGGGGAGATTCTATCTATGGGGTTCAGATGCCGGCTTACACTGATGATACTTGGCGTCTGACGTTTGGTCAGAAGAAGCAGCTGTTCGGCCGCCACCGGTGTGCTGTCGGTGGCAGTGCCCCTGAAGGGGCCGAGCTGGAAGGAGCCTGTTTTTGTTTTAAGTTTAACAGAACTTGAACTTTTCAATCTTTTGACAAGAGGAAATGACACTCAGACCGCTCAAACAAGACGACACTCCACCACTTGACAGGACGCCGTGTGGACACAGCCAAAGAGCCGGTGTTCTTCCATGCTGGTCCGATCCAACTGCAGGAAGAAATCATCTATGATTTCTCAGTTGGGGCAGTGAACGATCTCTCAGCAGGCTCGGTGACCAAACTTGCATTTGCAATCATGTTTTTCAATGAGTCTTAAACAGTAAGACTAGTGGCCTTCAGGAGACGGCAGCCTTGCACTGGTGGCAATCCGACGGAATCTGCCCTACGTCGGCTTAGTGCTGACTGAAGACCACGTCCAGAGCTCAGCATATTACCTTTTTTTGGCAACTTGAATCAATACTCAGAATCTAACATCGCACTGGCACAGCTTGGCTGAGGCAAAGCACTTGGTGGCCCACCTGGAGAACAAGGTCTTCCAGTGCATGCAGGACACATCTGATCCCCTGCACAGTGCGGAATTGTGCAAGCTGATCAAAGACAGCAAGAAGCTCAAACAGGACTGCTTGAAATTTGGATCACAGTTGATGTCACTGTCACTGAAAACTAATAAACAAATCAACTAAAACAAAATTTAAGTAGGGTGGACACAAACACTGACTGCGGTGGCCAGGACTCAGCAAAAGATGATGAGGAGGAGCATCGTGATGACCAGCCAAAGCCAAAGGCTAAGGCCAAGTCCAAGGGAAAGAATCCAAAGCCTGAGAAGCCAGAAGATGATGATGCTGAAGAAGTTGAAGAGCCTGCGTCAGTGGCGGAAGAGACTGATGATGACCAGGAGGCGGATGATGGCCTTGAAGAGTGTCTTGAGGAAAAGGGCGGAGAAGATGCGAAGACTCCAGAATGGATCAACACGGAAGGGGAAGAGACATCATCCCCGCCGGAGGACACGGTTGATGAGATCCTTCAGGAGATCAAGAATCCCAAAGCGAAAGCAAAGGGAAAGGCAAAGGCAAAGGCCAAACAAGAGCCGAAGGCAAAGGGCCGGAAGCCTAAGGAGAAGGGACCGGAGGAACAAGTCCCGGAGCCGAAGGCAAAGCCAAAGGCCAAGAATGGGCCAAAGAGGAAGAAGGGGGCTGATGACATGGAGGCTGCAGAGAAGATCGCGGCAAAGCTTCGCAAGGTTGCCAAGCCGGGGGCAAGCTAAGTGAGATGACTGAGTCTCAAGAGTTTGTGGGACTGTGGTCTGGGCTCAGGATGCTGGGGATAGAGTGAGTAATGAAAGTACTAGACTTGAAATCGGAATCATGAAAAGATTAATTACTTTGATTTGAACTTAACAACTTTGAAAGACTAAACTAAGAGATTGAAACACATGTAATGACAACTTAAGATTTCATTTGCCGTTCAAAGCTAGAAAGTTGAGTTGAACTCACTCAGCAAACGCGGACTGAGCCTAAGTGTTTTGAGTCCCGAGTTCATAGGACAGGCTCTGATGGAATCATCAGCAAAGCCCTGCTTCAAACCGATTCACCAACCGCCCTTGGCCCGATCAAAAAAGTCAGGTCTTGCAGTCTTCAGCACAAGAATAGTCAGTCTGTCGTTTGGAAAGCAAGTTTGACAACATGGCAGTTTTTGGACATTGACCGTGTTGCCTTTACTTCAAGAAACAATGACAGCTGTGGAAGGAACATGAGCATGTGTATCCCTTAAATTAAACTGTGAAACATACTTTCATTCTAAATACATCATCAACAAATGATGTTCATACACTTTCTTTATTCTTACTGATTAGGATGATGGCAAAGGTTGTCAAGCTGGGTTCTGACTTCTCCGGCTTGGAATGTTTGAGTTGGGCTGCATCGAGACCTGTCTGGAGATTACCGTCGAGTCCCCATGCCTACTAGAGATTGGAGGTGGTTGCTTAATTTAATTTAATGACATGCACATGAAATTAGAAATCAAAGTCTTTGGAGTCCGGGGGATTTTGACTCAACACGGGGGACCTTGCCAGGTCCAAACATTAACTGGTTGATAGCTGACCATGCCCACCACTGATCTGTAACCCAAGGAAAGCTGGCCTGAAGACCGACTTGCGCTTTGTGAGCGAGATCAATCCAAACCTGCGGAAGATCACGGCCAAGATCCATGAACCCAAGGTCATATTCAAGGACTGGCTGGGTCACTGGGTCAGTGATTTAATCAAGGATAATTTAATACTTCTTTGACCGGTATTATATTACTACCTCTCACTCCAACTTGAGACAATGAACAATTCAATCCCATAGTTGATTTCTCACATCCATCCAGACCCTGACCAGTGCCAGACCCTCCAGACTGAGTGATCGGTCACAACCACCTCCAGACTCACACCAAGTGGACCCAAACTGGTTGCCAGACTCAGGACGCTATCAACCGAGATCCTGAACTGGTTCCCAGGGTGGACCTATATGGTGCTGGTCCCCCTTGCCAGCCACTGTCTTCAGCTGGTAAGAAACGAGCATATGTGACCTGGTGTCAGCCTTGAACTTTTGGTGTTGATTTAAAATATAGTTTACTTCCACAGTCTTCACCTTTGAATGATCCCAAGTCTTAATTACTGAGGATGATGTCAGGGCAAAGTGCTACAATGCCACCTTCGACTATATCAAGGCAAAGGTTCCTCGTGTGGTATTAATTGAGCAGGTCCCACACATCCTGTCCAACAAGAAGTTGAGGGTGAAAGTCTTTCAGCGCTGGATGGCTGAGTTCCTAGGGCTGAATTCAGTTCAACACAGTTCTGTCTTAGAGTTTTGTGACCCCATTTCAACGAGGTTGCGTTCGGTGAAGGATCAGAATTCCAAGCCTGTCTATGATATCCACTTCAAGGTCTTGAATGCCGAGTCCTATGTCCCTCAGAGTCGCAAGCGGTTATTCATTGTTGCTTTGTCCAAGAAGTACCAGAAGAAGCCGTTCAAGTGGCCAGCACCCCGTCCAAGGAAACTGAGCTTCTTGAGTATCTTGGAGAAGGTCAAGGGTGGTTCTCGATCCGTGGATTGTTTGTTAGACACATTTTCATTTGAAAGGTAAGGGTCCCAACTGTCCCTCCCAACTGCTCAGGACCTAGTTATTGCCATCAAAAAGTTATTGTATTTAAGTTCCAAAACCAGCCCAGGACCATTGTCAAAGCATGCTTCAAAGATGTTGTGCCGGGGCCTCAAGAAGATCAAGAAGATGGGTGGTGACCCGAAGAAGCAGACTTGGCACCTCAGCTTTCATGGAGTTTCAAGCTGACGGAGTTGTGTATTTATGCACTTTAAATTAATTAAATGATGTGATAAACTCATCTGATGATCTAAGGCTTGTTGATATTGGTGCCTCCAAGAAGTTCCAGAACATCCCAAGGAAGGACATCACCCCGTGTTTGACGAGGACTCGTGCATCTCAGGGTGGCTGGTGGCTGACAAAGCTTGAGCGCCGGATGCTGCCTAAGGAGACTTGTTCGAAATTATTGCGTTCTAAAATTTAAGTTATTTAATAGGTGATTCTGGTTTGAAGGGCTTTGTCATTGATTTTGGTTGCCCTGAAGGAGATGCTACGATTGCAGGGCATTTCGGGTGAGGTCAGTGATCTGGCCACTGCCTTGGGAATCTCACCCAATGAGGTTGGAGCGGCAGCTGGAAATGCCTGGCCTGTTCCACTGGTAGCTGCAATCTTGGCTAGGGTCAAGGCATCCATGGATTGGTGAGAAAACCTACTACTACGCACCAGTTGACTGACTAATTGAATTATTATGTCATGAAGGTTGCCGGATCCTAGCCATGTGACAGACCGGTGGGATGATGGAAAAAGTATGAGATGTTGTTGGGCTGTTTGGGGTTGATTGATGGGGTAATGGATTCCAGGGATCACCCATTCAAGTTTCCCAAACCAGTGTTTTGATGGTGACCCCATCATGCATCCCATCATCCCTCCGACCAAGCAACCAACCTGCAGCATGCCCTTGATGATAGTAATTCCCCTTTGAGGTTTGGGCCACCCCACACTTGATTTTTGGGTCCACCAGCCCGAATGACCCATGGCCCATTCATCCACATCCTTCCCTGGCTGAGGCCCGAACATTCTGGTCCGGCAGCTCAGCAGAGGTGGCTGCTGCTGCTGGGGCTTGGTATGGGGTTGAGGGTGTTTTGTGGTCTATTTAGGAAACCCATGGACACCCTTATTGTACTGGGGTCAGATGGCTTGACATTCAGGGGAGAGGTGGGTGGTCTGGTGGACTGGCTCCCCTTCCTGACCAAGTTGTATTAAATGTGGGTATCTTTGGGCCCAGGCAGCACTCCTCACAACCACCAAAAACCTTAGATGCAGATTTTCAGGGTTCTGGCAGTTCGAGAACCATACTCACATCAAACTGGGATTCCTTCAAACTCCACTCCCCCCACTCCCCTCCACCCCACTCCACTCCACTCCACTCCACTCCAAACCACTTGGAGACTGAAAGGATACTTCTATTTTAGATTTCTTGGAAGGCCCAGGACTTAGCTGGAACCCGGGGCAACCAAACTTACGGTATCAATTTTTGGTGAAGGCCAAATTCTCCGCCATCCATCCGTGGTCCAACCACCAAAACCAACAAACCTTGAAGCTATCCAATTCTTGGTGACCCTCCACTGCCACACACCATCATCCATCCTC